TTCCATTCCTTTTCATCCATTGATACCACCCAGAAGCAATCCCTTCCATTGTGAATCCTGATATTCGCAATCGCTGTGTGTCGGGTGTATCATAAAAATCAAAATATTCTTGAATTCTAAATATCCAACCATGAGGGTCTGAGCCATCAAAGCGAGGTAACTCAAGTTTCATATGAAATCGTTGAGTTCCTTGGCCACTCTCCGGTTGCAAAGATGGTTGTAGATGATTATGAGGTGGAGGCCCTAAAATTCCATGTGTTTGAGGTTGCACTGCTGCATTTTTATTTGTTGTTACCATCGTTTCCAACCGTGACACGGAGGTAATGAGTTGTTGAATGAGTTGGTGATTTGTAACAGTTTGTCTATCATAATTTTTTTGAAATTCGGCAATTGCCTGCTCCCAAGGACGAGTTTTTGATGTGGATTGGTTGTCTGACATAATGAAGTAGGATTACAGTTTTGAGTGTGTAAAAGAACAAGAAAGATGAGTTCGATGCAATGAAAGCACCAATTGATACGAACCCGTATCAAGCCGGCACCGCTTTGAGTGGGTGCAGACTCCAAAGATGGAATTAGGGGAGGGGAAAAATCAGAGAGAGAGAGAGGGAGAGATAGAGAGAGAGAGAGATTTCAGAGAAGGAAGATGAGAGTAGAGAAGAAAAAGATAATAATAATTCGCATGTCTTTCTCCCTAGCATGCAGGGTGATTATATACTAAGTTACTCCTATTATGCTTAGGACTATGATTCCTAATTAATATGATATAATAATGTATTAGGACTAAACTAATGTATCCTATTACGAATAAAATTAGTCTAACAAATGTAATCAACCATCCATGCCGGTTTCCTTCGTTTTCTCCTTGGCATAGTAGCATGGGTTGTTTCTTTTCTTTCTCCCAATTCTTGATTTTCACCTTTTTCTACTGTGGATATACTCGTATCAATATGAAATATCGAAATGTTTAAGAAAACCAGATTTGAACAAAAAAGGCCCTAGATTACAAACTGACCTCTGCCACTACGCATCCAGAACAAAAGAAACTTTTCAGGAGACACAGATGGTTGACACTTGGCAATTGGCATCATCCTGCATGCTTTCTTTGTAACTATTTTCAGTTATTTTTTTGTTAGATTTTCCCTCCCATATTTCCTTCTTCTCCCATCCCTGTATATAAGAATGTTTCCTGGCAGCCCGCATGGACAGTTCAGTTGGTTACAGAGATAAAATTTAGGAAGAATGATCAAGGATTGAGTCTCACCAGCGAGTAAAAATAACCTCTCAAAATGAAGGGGCTCTTTATGCGCAGTAAGCAAAGGTCTACCAACCTCTCAAAGTCGGGGGCTCTTTATGCGCAGTAAGCAAAGGTCTACCAACCTTTCAAAGTCGGGATTTTTTTATGCGCAGTAAGCAAAGATTTAGCGTCTATATTCAATTGAGTTACCATGATTTAAATCCTCTCATATGTTATGTCAGACCGAGGTGTGGGAGCCCTTAAAACTGGGAATTCAACCTTTTGAGAAGCTAAGAAAGGAAGAATGTTTCCTGGCATTTTTCCAGACTATTGAATAAGAGAGAAAATTTATTCATTCTTTTGTTCCCTAGCTTAGTCGTTTCATGCCTTCAGCTCCGCAACAAAACTCTTTGGATTGAGAAGTACAACGTCCTTGTGTTTATTCCTTTATATAATATGTTTGGTTCACGGAATAAATTTGGAGGGAATAGAATGTCATTCTACTGGCAATGGAATAGGTAAGGAATAGAATAGAAATTGTATTCTATTGTTTGGTTCGCTGAAAGAATAGATTTAATAATTATATTCCAATGTTTGGTTAGTTAAAGAAATAGAAATGAAATATGTTTTAAAGACATAAATACCCTTATACATAATAATAATAATAATAATAATAATAATAATAATAATAATAATAAAGACCGGTGTTTGATTTGTTAAAGGAATATATAGAAATGGAATACGTTCTAAAGACATAAATACCCTTATAAAAATAATAATCACGTTCTTCTTCTTCTTCTTCTTCTTCTTCTTGCAAGGTGGACACGGTTCCAAAATTGTTCATAATTATGAATATATAGTTCAAAAATTATGAACATATGGTTCTATAATTATGAACATAGAGTTGTACTGTGAACATAATTATGAACATATAGTTCTGTAATTATGAATATAGAAATTCAATAATTGTGAATATGAAGTTCAAAAATTATGAATATATAGTTTTATAATTATGAACATATCGTTCAGTAATTATGAACATAGAACCATATCCAACTTGCAAAGTACGTGGACATGATTCCACGGTATAACGATTGTTACATGAAAGTCCCATAAATTGCAATTCAACAAAAGGAGGGAATTACAGTTCGGTGAAATTGCAATTCCATCCAACCAAACAACGTCATAATTGAGACTTTCATTGAATTATAATTCAATTACAACTCAATTACATTCAACCAAACGCCCACCCGGAATAAATTTAAATTTATCTGTATTGGAAAAACAAATTTAACAGGGCGTTTGGTTGAAGGGAATTTAAATTCCCTTCCCACTTAATTCCCACCTAATTCCAAAGGCCACAAAATTCCCTTGTTTGGTTGAAAGAAATTGCAATTCCCCCATTTTCATGGAATTAAAATCCCATGCCACCCCCCCCCCCCCCCCCCCCCCGGTATTTTAATTCCTGGGATTTTAGGAAGAAAAAAAGATAGTGATGAGTCAAAATTACCCCTACCTTTTTTAACCTAAAATTAATGCTTGACAACAACAATGGACATTTTGGACTTTATACTACTTATTCCATTTCAATTCTCATGTATACCAAATATTGGAATTGAAATTCTCAGTAATTCTATTCCTGTAAACCAAACACTGGAATTTAAATTTCCACTTTATTCTCAGTAATTCATCTCTCATGAAATTACAATTCTTTTCCCACATAATTCCCCTTTCCAACCAAACGCCTTGTAAAAGTATAGGGAAGAAACTCATTTATAGTGGTGCAACCACTTCACATTAACTAGAATCAGATGTGGGTATGGAATAATTAATATCGTGGTCTCTCTCTCAGACGGATATTTGCGCGATGATGCTTACGTTATTTTTTTATTTTTTTTGGTGCGTTTGATGCTTACGTTATTGTATTTGATTGGGGTGTGGTTGAGTGAAAGAGATTTATTTATCCTTGATTAAAGATCAATAATTCAATCTTGACTTTGAATATGGAACAGTTTTAAATCTTCAGACCATATGTTCTATTTAAAAAATTGTCGACAATTCATTGAAAAGATTGATCAGTCACTGTGTTTAACAGTGAAAATCTTGGATACACTAAAAAAAATAAAAAAATGCTTACATTGTATTCGATTTGTTCCTCGTCATCATCAAAATCTCCAGGCACTGATGTTCTTCTAATCTATGTCTCCCACCACGTCACCAACTGACCAAATATGGTAAAACCAATTTCTACGGTCCAACAGTAGAATGCTGTCGAGTCCCTGTTCCTCATCATTCTCACACCGACATAAAACGTAGACGATAGATCATCTATCAATCGTTATACCGTGCACCACGGCGCAGATAGCACTGTGCGTTCTGTGCCTCCCAAAACGATGTCGTTTTGTTAAATTGTTAAAAAAAATCATCTGTTTCGAATGCACATAAACTCATAATAGAATACACATAAACTCATAACAGAATACACATAATCTAACATAATACATAATACACATAAACTTATAACTGAATACACATAATGGGTTTGGTTAACATAATACACATAAACTCTTAACTGAATACACATAAACTCATAACACGATACACATAAATTTTTAACTGAATACACATAATGGGGTTTGGTTAACATAATACACATAAACTCATAACACAATACACACAAATTTTTAACAGAATACACATAATAAGATTTTGTCTGTTCGGACGGACGGAGTGACATCAGCAAAAAACGCGCGCGTTTTGTGCCTGGGCGTATATTGCTATGTGCGCCATAGTACACGATATAAATTACCTAGATCTATTTGTGGCACGAAATTGACCTCCATGACCAGGCCATCAACAAAGAGTAAGATAGGTTAGCTCAGTTGGCTCGACCAATCATCCAACAACGGTGTGGTTCAAATTCCATTAGAAAACCCGGTATAGAATTTCGTCATTGTACATTACTTGATGCGTGTCTCCAATAAAGCTATATATTTTGTCTTGTTTCTAATTTTTGAAGTGGCGAGGGAATCCTATAATTACTATTGTGCACTATTTTGTCTTGTTTCTAATTTTTGAAGTGACAAGAGAAACCTGCCCGACTGTATGCACTGGGGTAAGTCCCGTCTTGTGATCCTAACTAGCAAATAACCATAAGGAAGAGAAACCTGTCCGACTGTATGCACTGGGGTAAGCCCGTCTTGTGATCATAACCGGTAAATGACCACAAGAAAGAGAAACTTGCCTGACTGTATGCACTGAGGTAAGCTCCGTCTTGTGATCCTAACTGGCAAATGACCACAAAAAAATAAATCAAACTAGGTTGCCTACCTATAGTTGACCAGCTCAAATCACGAAGGTTGGAATTCAAACTTGTGACCTTATAATTTCAAGTTTGAATCTTTAGTGGATTTGGTTGGGTTACCCCATCTTGTTCCTAATTGTTTGGGCAATAAATGTAATAGGCAACCCATGTCTTAGGATAGACTTAGAGACCTCTTGAGCCATTGGGTTAGGCCTGCAGAGTGATGATTAGGGACCAGGCAGGAATATTGGACCATTAGTTGATATATAGAACATGCATAGAGAAGGATCAAACAGTAGCCATTAAATATTTCCTTCAGCATATATATATGGTGTGCTAAAAGGTGTGCCCATGTGGTTGGCCACAGAGTATATATATATATATATATATATATATATATATATATATATATATATATATATATATATATATATATATGTTGCTTTAATTTACTCCAAATAAACACTTGGAGTTACGTTCTTGAGTTAATTGGCTCTCTGATCTATATTTAATGTGCATATGGATAAAACAGCAGCCAAGACTGGAATGAAGAAAGGTGCATGGACTGAACAAGAAGATAATCTTTTGAGGAAATACATTCAGGAGTTTGGAGAAGGGAAATGGCACCAAGTTCCAGCTAAAGCAGGTAACAATAATAATGCAAACAATATAATATAATATTACATGCATTTGCTTTTTTTTTTTTTTTTTTCTTTTTTCTCTAAATTTTATCTAATATGGAGTAATAAAAAAAAAATGGGTGCAGGGTTGAATAGATGTCGGAAAAGTTGTAGATTGAGATGGTTGAATTATCTCCGACCAGACATAAAAAGAGGGGACTTTGCTTGGGATGAAGTTGATCTCATCATCAGGCTTCACAAGCTGTTAGGCAACAGGCAAGTTCAAACACAATTATATTTCGATCCTCAATTCCTTGAATAAAATTACTTTTCACACTCTATTTTACGTGTTATAAAATTACTTTTCACACTCTATTTTACGTGTTTGATTCGATTAACAATAATATTTATATATTTAGAAATCAAATTTAAAAAATACTATTATAACAAAAACTAATTTTAAAAAGAGAAAATTACATTTTTTGTTCTTTAGTTATATCTGTGGTATAAATTTAGTCACTGAGTTATATGCGTGGTCATCTTTAACTCCTAAATTATGTACGAAGTGACCATTTTAGTTCCTGGGAAAACTATTTCTATCACCAATTTGTCACTTAATAAAGGGTTGATTTGGTCCTTAAGGCTGAAATCGTCACTCCATACATAACTTAGGGGTTAAAGATGGTAACCATGAGATTAAGTCTGTACATAACTAGAAGACTAGTTATATCAAAATGATACTGTAATTGTATTAAAATGAAACTGCAATATATATTTGATGTTTGGATCACAATGTATTGTGGGCCGCAGTGCACAGTATAATTTGCCCAGAAATTCCCGTGCGAGCTATTTATATTACATTTTGGTTTTCCGGTTAGGTGGTCATTGATCGCCGGTAGGCTTCCGGGGAGAACGGCGAACGACGTGAAGAATTACTGGAATACCCACCTCAAAAAGACGGCTGAATTTGGCATGCCATCTCGTCGGCAACAAGAAAATGGAAGAGGAAACATCGTCATTGGACCTCCTTTTCCTCCTCGTCCTCCAAACTTCTCAATGATCTCATCTTTCTTGTCATTGGGAACTGAAACAACAACAACAACTACTACTTTGCCTGACAATGACGTGACCAAGCGGACATTTACGCCATCGCCGCCGACGAGAGCAATGCCGGCCGAGAGCGAAACACATTGGTGGGAAAATTTGCTGGCTATCGGTGACAGGGATGGGGCAATCACGTGGTCGCCGTTGACAACCTCCGGTGAAGGAGATAACGCGGTGGCCGACGGGGAAACATGGTCACGAGCAATCGGTGCTGGCAACTCCATGTTTATTGAGCAGGGAGAGTTCAGTTGGAACGATGGTATTTGGGAGAGTAATTGAAGTACTCCGTAATTATTTTTCAAGCACTAGTTGGGTGTGATAATATGTTAAGATTTGAGTTAATTCTATTTTTAGTTTGATATGTAACCATCTATTTTTAGGTCTTTTTTATTAGAACATTTTTATTTGATTTTAGTATTATTGTGTCATGACTATTTTTAGTTCTGCATCAACAAAATCGTTGAAATGTCGTTAAATACAAAGACATTTCAATCTTTTGTATACAAAATATGTTGAACCGCTATATTTTTTTGAAAATATACATAATTGAAGACCAAAATGCAATTGTATTTAACAATATTTAAATTGTTTTGTTGATAAAGAAAGGACCAAGAATGGTCCTACCACAATAATTCTAAGGGGGTGTATTCAATCATGACTTTTGTAGAGTTTTAAAAACTTTTAAAATGATAAATTTTAATAAACTTTGATTGACTTATATAGAGTCGTTCAAAACTTTTTAAAACTTTATAAGACTCTATTGAAGTCTATATAAAAAACATTCATAGACTTTTATCAACTTTTTATTTTAAAAAGTCTACAAAAGTCATTGAAATTCTAAATTGAATATATCCTTAGGGCGGTGTATTCAATCACGACTTTCATAGAGTTTTAAAGATTTTTATGAACTTTAAAAGTTTGGAGGTATTCAATTTGAACTTGTAGAGATTCTTCAAAAGTCCGGCGTTATTCAATCAAGATTTTTAAAGAGTCTTTAAAAGTCGTGTGGTATTCGATTAAGACTTTTAAAGAGTCTTTAAAAGTCATGTAGTATTCAAAAAGTTATTAACTTGTGTTGACTTTTTAATTTTAAGACTTTTGTAGACTTTTCCTTCTCAAATATAAATAGTTGAAATCCAACCATCAACCCCAAGATTTCAAAATTTTCTTTCTAACAACTTTGAATGTTTTCTCTCTCTATTTAAACTCTATTTTTCTCCCCATTTAAACTTTATAAACCTATCTAAATTTAATAAAATTATTTTTTCGTCATTATCCTATATTTTCCGCATACCTAAACTCTACCAATTTTTTTCTCTCTCTCTCCTGAACTTTACAATCTTTCTCTAAAGATTCGAAATAATATTATTTTTACTTAATTATTGCTTGTTTATATTGATTTTTATTTTTTCTATGAATTTTTCATCCCTAACTTTCTCTAATTCTCCCTAAATACATGAACAAAGCAAAATTTTCATCGTCAAATTTTAGTATATCTTTCATAATATTCATATAAATACTTATATATTTTTATTTTTATTTTTTTTATGTTTATATTCGTAATATATATTTTTCCTTTTTTTTTAAATAGCATGTTACTATGAATAGCAAACTACTGTTCGCAACAACAATTTGGGATTGCAAACAGTAGCACCTTGTTGTTGTTCACAATCTCAAATTGCTATTGCAAATAATAGTTCTTTGCGTGATGCCTAGCAATATATGAAGTAAAATTAATTAATTAATTATATATATATATGTATATATATATATATATATATATATATATATATATTAATATTAGATTTTTATTCTTATTGTATGGAACTTGTAATTATACTTTTAAATATTTTATTTGATCAATTCTTTTATTATAAATTTTATTGTTCAATATTGTTATGAATTTCTAATGAAATAGTTTTTTTTTTTTGTGTTTATTAATAATATATCTAAGTAATTAGCCATATAAGTATCAGCATACTATGGATAAAAATAATGATGTTGAAATGTTGTTGTGAATGAATAACTATATAATAAGAAGAATTTTATGATATATTATAAATGTTTTGTAAGAAAATTATAAATGATGATAAGAATCAAAATCATTGAAAGTTTGTAAGATGCTTGCTTTTTTTTTTTTCCTGAGATGTGTCAAATTTGTTTTTTTTTTTTCCTTCTTCTCTCCCTCATCTCTATCCTAATTGGCACCTCAAAAATCACCAAAAAAAAAAAAAAAAAAAAAAAAAAAAACCATTACTAATAGAGATGCCCTAATATATTAATTGAAAGTACATAATATGTTAATTGTATTAAGTACATAATTTATTAACTAAAATTATATAATATGTTAATTAAAAATACATAATCTAAATGTTATTTTGGATGAAGGTCTAAAATATAAAGTGGACCTAGTCTATGATATTACAAAAATCCATGTCTTATGATAGATTTAGAGACCTTTTGAGCCCCTGAGTCATGATTAGGGGCAATTTGCCCGCATGGGTAGCTCAACTGGTCATAACTGATTAATGTTCAGTTGAGTCACCATGATTTACAACCTCCCACCGCTCTGTCGGGCCGGGGTGTGGGGGGCCCTTAGGGTTGGGGTTCAGCCTTTTGGAAGAATGATTAGGGGCAATTTATATCGTGCACCAAGGCGCACATTGCATTGTGCGCCCTGATGCAAAAGGACGTCGTTTTAGATTTTTTTTAAAAAAAAAAAATCGTTACCATGTGTTGGTGGTTAATTTTTATTTTTATTTTTTTTAAATCTCATGTTCAAAAATATACATAATTTATATTAGAATACACATAATTGTATACATGAATGTACATAATTGTATAACAAAATACACATACTTTTTTTTAAAAGATAATACACATAATCTAACATAATACATAATATACATAAACTTTTAACATAATACACAAACTCTTAACATAATACACATAAATTTCTTGTTTCGGATGTACATAATTGTATAAAAGAATGTACATAATTGTATAAACAAATACACATAATTGTATAAACAAATACACATAATCACATTATTCCCTACATAACTTACCAAAACGACGTTGTGTTAGAAGGGGCGGAGTGTACAGTGCTATGTGCGCCGGGATGCAAGGTATAACAATGGATGATTAGGGACCAGGAATGTTGGACCATATATTAGTTGATATATATAGAACACGCATAAAGAAGGATCCAACAGTTGCCATTAAATATTTCCTTCAACATATATAATATGGTGTGCTAAAAGGTCTGCCCATGTGGTTGATATGTAGGTCAACATTTATTTATATTTATCCTCCACTTTTATTAAAAATATATATTCGCCAATCTTTTCAGAAAATATATACTCATACTATGTGATTTTTGCTGATTAAACGGGAGAGAAAATAATTATGAACAGATCACTGATTAAACGGGAGAGAAAGTAATTATGAACATATACTACAACAGAGTCAGTATCAATCAAAAAAATAGGAGAGAAATAAATTATTATTTTTTACCGCATTTCCCTTCTAAAATTACCTAATAATTTTTCCTGATTATGTATCATTATTTTATTAAACTCTATTTTATATTTAATCATTGTATTAATTTATTTTATGGGCCAAGTAGCTTGTATAGGTAGCTCAATGACACCTTTGTGATTCTTCCAAATGGAAGGTCACATGTTCAAACTCTAGTGGGGACAAAGTATGTATAAACAGATACTACATTGCAAATGGTGGATCATAAATAAAAAATAATACATTATTTTGTATATTTAGTACACAAATAATATGCTTTTGGTATAAATATGATCCACGTAATAATAATAATTTACTTACGAGAGATCCAAACCTTTTTTAAGGAATAAAAGTATAGGACTACTCACGCCAACCAAGTTGATCCGATCCTCTTTAGCAACTTGGTAGAACTACTAAAGTGAATGCTTAGTTATTCGCCGGAACAATTAAGCCTCAGGTATTTAGATTTATTAAGGATATAATCTTCGAAATCTTATTGGAGGTTGGAACAAAAAATTCTTGACAAAGGCTAAGAAGGAAGTGTTACTAAAAACAGTTGCCCGGCTCTCCCAACGTTTACCATGAATGTTTGAATAAGTGAGTTGATTTCGCAAGAATACCCTCTAGCTAGGGTAATCTCATTACCGAGTTGACCTTAGGTAATATGATACTATTACTTTTTTAATATTCTAGAATTGCCCTCAATATTAATTTCTATTTCTCCCTTCATTAACCACCCATATGAATTGGAGTGTGTCATATCACCGAAAATTGAAAATTTCACTTTTTGGCGAATTGAAGCAATTTCACAGGAATAATTCCACCTTCCGGTGGAATTGGAGCAATTTAAATGTGGAAAATTCACTTTTCGGTGGATTGAACATGTTCTTGTTGTGATGATGTTACTATAAGCATCTTTTTAAATTCTAAACTATGAAAAAAAAAAAAAAGACTTGTAAATTTATTAAAATATCTTTAAAAGTAAATCATTTTTACATACACCTTTCATTTTCTATGAGGACATTTATGTAATTGATGTAATATAGCCTCCAACCACACAATAAGTTAATGCTAAATACAATAAGTTAATACGGAGTACTATATTTCCTTAATCTCACTTAACCTTCCTAGAGGTAATTCCGCGCTTATTGACACTTAACATAAAACGATGTCGTTTCTGACCAAGGTCCACCTTACAAGGTGGGCTTTGATTCACAATATAATTTGTACAAATCAACAATAACGTGCTCAATAAGTAAAATTATTGCTCATTTGTACTCTAGTTTTGTTTTTTGGAAAATTATATTATGGACCATGAATAAATGTTAATTTTTAATATATTGAAAGTTTATTATTTGAGTACTAAATATTCATTATTTAGTAGTATATCAAATAATGAACCTTAAAAAATGAAGCTCTAGTATATTAAAAATGTATCTTATGCCAATGGTTCACATTATAAGATGATCCATGATCCAGGGTATAATGATTGTCTTTTTTTTTTTTTTTGCCAATTTAAAGAGTCTAAATAGAGCTTCTTTTTTTTTAGCATTGCCTATTAGGTGGACCATGCATAGGGTACATTATTTTTATGCATAATATGGTACATTATTTTCTATTCATAAGAGCAACTCCATTAGCTATATTTTTTTTGAATTTTTGAATTTTTGATGTGCCAACTAGGAGAAAGAGAGAAAGAGAGAGGGAGAGAGAGAGAGAGAGAGAGAGAGAGAGAGAGAGATAGATGAGGGAGAGAAAAAAGAGAGAAAAAGAAAAGGTAAAAAAATAGATTTGACAAAAAAAAAAAAAAAATTTAAAAAAGGTTACTATTACGTGCCTACTAGGCGCGGGCAAATTATGCCCTGGACCCGTGTCCACAGT